AGGGGAAGCTGAATGAAAGGTACAGGGGAACTCTATGAACTATTGGGTTGTCGAAAAAGTCATGACATATTTTTTCTGGTTTTCGTTGCAAAAATGTGTCATGACTTTTCCGACAACCCAATATTTAGGTAACTCTTCTATTAATCTGAAATTATCTCAAAAAAAACCCCCCAAAAACCTGAAAAAGAAATTTTATAAGAAACATGAAACTAATTATTAATATCAAGCCTGTGTTAATTAGCTTGATGATTTGATTTATTGGACTTAGTGTAACTGAGATGCCGTAATTAAGAAGAAAATAACCTTACTGTTTGGTTTCTTTGTGGTAGCTGACAATTCCTCCTCTTCATCTGCGACGTGGGAGTAGCTATCTGGTAAACAGGATTCATATTCTTCATGCGTTGTCCGATCAAACATATCTTCCAAGCTATCATTCATTTTTCTTTCTCCATCTGTGTAAAAGAGCATTGGCTCAGAGGAACATGCAAGCTTTTCCCTTTCTATCTAGATGAATGTGATACTTGTAGTAACTGCCACAAAATAATTGTGTACACTTACAAAAGCTTTATATTACAGCTTTAAATGTCCTTTACTAATGTGAAGACAATGCTAATTTTTGTTATTTTCATGAAAAAAACTAAAAATCTTTTTCTATCAGCTTATGTTTATAACTCATACTAAACCAAAAGGTGTCTTTCCCAAAAAACTGAGGAACAGAAAATATATTATAATGTATCATAAAAAAATACTGTTTAAATAAAATGTGTGTAAATAGCTGATACTAACATCTATAGGATTCTGCTTACCTGCTATTCTTCTAACGTGGCAACAAAAGAAGTATTTTCTTGCATTATCACTAACACTTGGTATTTTAGTGTTGATAGATATAATGAACTCAATTCCATACCTGACATGCAAAGTGCCAAATTCACTTTTAGAGAACTAACTACATTTCCCACTATATCATCACATTTTAAAAACACCAGAATTTACTAAAAAACAGAAATAGATGCAGTTGGCTAACAAATCTGACAGAACAGAAGCCTGCTGAGATTACTCTATCAAATAACTACCATCTCCCCTAATCCATGGTGCTCTAGCACCCGCACCCTAGGTCATCTTTCTCCAGCACTATCACCTATCATACCACGCATTTGCTTGTTTCTTCTCAATTACAATGTACATTCCATGAGGTAGGTACTTTTGTTCTTTTTACACACTATCTCCCGTTCCTGGAACACTTCCTAGTATAGAACTGTAGTTCGATCTTTACTGAATGATTAAACATTTACTTTTCATTCTGAGGGTCAAATTTCTAGATAAAATAGAACTTTCATGTGCCATGCAGTGTGCTAGGCATTCTCAAAGCATTCTGTATGTACTGCTAGTGAATCACAGTAAGTCGCTGATTTATTTTTTTGTTGGCCTGACTTTTGATTGTGAAATACTTGAGGACAGAGACTACACCCTTATTGATAGTTCTATCACAGCACCTAGTAAGTCTAATACAGACAGAATAGGGATATAAAAAACATTTTCTGAGTTGAAGTATTAGCAGCAATTGGGGGTTTTTATTGATATGTTTGATTTTTAACCAATTTTAAGTACTGAAAAGGTTTGTTTACCTTGTGGGTAAAATGGGCATACAATTTTTTTCCAAATATGGCCTCAACAATATCTTCTATCTCATGTGCTGTGCTTATAATGTGATGATGGCATTTGTCACTGAGTAGTGAGGGCCATGTTCTTTTGCTTTGAACCTGGCCAAGCTTTTGAGACACTATGCAACTTCTGAGGCCACATAATAAAAACGCCATGCGTTTCTATCTTGCTCTTTTGGGATGCTCACTCTTGGAACCTAGTCTCCATGTGGTGAGGAAGCTCACACCAGCCCATGTGGAAAGAATACATGGAGAAGCCCTGAGACTGAATGAGGAGAGAGATGCCAAGTCACCACCATCTGTCTTGCCCTCTGCTCTTCCAGCTCCAGTTACCAGCTGCCTACAACAGCATGGGAGTTCCTGAGACAAGCCCTTCCTGAATGCCTGAACCATAGAAACTATGAAAGAAAATGACTGTTGTTGTTTTAATTCTCTAAGTTACTGGAGTAATTTATTATGCATCAATAGTACTCACAGTATCTTATTTAGCCAAAATTATCTCCACTCTTTAGTTCAAGGTCTAATCTCACTTCTACATGATACTTGCTTCAAATATATTTGGGAAACTATCATGTTCTTTGAAACAACTAAATAAAATTGAAGCCAAAATAGTCATACTTTAATTTTCCCCTTTTCTAGAAAAATGAGGCAAACATTATCAGGATTTAGTATTGTGAAAAAAAAATATAGCAAAGTACCTTCTTAGGAAGAAAACTATATAAGTGTCATTCATTACAAAAAGATAATAAATCACTGTTAAGGTTTTTCTTTCAATGGGTACTATCCTCTCACAACTATCAAGGCAGCCAGCTACTTGATCATACGCATAGTTATTCCTTGTGAAAGAACAAAGAATTAAGGCAAAGTATTAAAATTTTCTTTCACTTACTGCATTTAGGGAAACAAGAGATAAGGCGTTTCAAAGGGACAAGACTAGCTGTTTTACTATTTGGCCCTGGGCAGGCAGACTACAGAACGTCAGCAGAAGATAGGGAATGCGATACAGTCTGAATGTCCTCAGTTTCTGACAGACGATGGTTGGAGAATGCCTCTGCTTTTTGCACTGCACCCCCACGTGGCGGGTCCTAAACCTTCAATGCATAAGGGTAGACTAGTCCCCGTCTAGCTGATCTCATGTCACATGCGTCTTTAATTGGGAACGTTGCTAAGGTGGTGCCGACCAAAATCCTTCCATGGCTCCCGTCTCTTGGAAAATCCAGGCTTTAAAGGACGAATTAACATTTTCTCACCACAAAGAACTATAGACCCCAATTCGGCCCAATTCCCTTTTCTGTAAAAGCAGAATATGGCAGAGTAACTCGGCATATACACTATCATTCTTAGTTTACTGCTGATTTGCAAATCTGTACTAATACTTCTTAGTAGGACCCCCACCCCGGTGCCTTTCTGCCTTATCAAATTGCTTTGGAAAATCGTATTTCTGAAACAGGACTCTCAAGTCCTGTTCTATACATTTTATTTAAAAAAATACGTAAAACAAGGAATAAGAAAACTTTTTCTTAAAGGGTCAGAGAGTAAGTATTTTTAGGCTTTGGGGCCAACACAGTCTCTGCACCAACTCTTCAGCTCTGCTCTAGCAACTTGCTGTTGTACGGCCCAAGCAGCCATAGGCGATACATAAACAAATGTGTGAGGCTGTGTTCCCATAAAACTTTATTTATAAAACTGACAGCCAGCTATGGTTTGCTGATCCCTGAAAACAATCTGAATTCTTTCTGAAATAAAAAATGTTTTCGCTAAAGATTTTTTTCCTTAAATATTGAAATTGAGTGTTACTAAGAGAAATCTACTATTACCAGATGGGGGAAAAAAAAACACCCAGTTTGTGGTGAAAAGGTCCCTTGGCTTATCAGTGCAATGGTACGACTATAAACTTCCCTCTACATTTTTACTAAAATAATAAAGAAAGAAATAAAATCTTACTTGGACTTTTTTCTCCCTTCTGCTCTTGCTTCTTCATTTTTAAAAGCATAGTTTCACTAACAAACGTACAGTCCATGTCCACTGTCTCTCCTCCTGCTAATCTTGACTGACTGCCATCCTGAATATTTAAAAATTCAAAATTTTAAAATTATCCTTTTATGGCCTTATATTTACTTTTAAAACAAATTTTAGTAAAATATACACAACATAAAATTTTACCATTTTCACCATTTTTTAAGTGTACACTTCAGTAGCATTAAGTTATATTTACTTTTACCCTTTAGTAACGTAGACAGATTTAGGTTTTACTGCCTGCCTGTAAAACAATATGCGAGCATCTTCTCTGAAGCTTAGAAAAAGGGAGGACTACTGCTAAGGAAGGGAGAATTATGGACCACTGAGCCCTTGAGTTTCTCTTTCCTTTGTTTTTTTTTTGGGGGGGGAATTGGGGGATGGGAACAGAGCTGGGGAATTGGGGGAAGGGGAACAGACAAGTGCTGTCCTTTTGTTCTTCAGTCTAGTTGTGGAGGACGTTGCTTCCATGGCCCAAGTTGGCACCATTATTGCGCTCTTTCCGGGCGAGGCAGATCAGTCGCCGGCTTCTGGACGGCTGCTCATGCTGGCTGCTGGCTACACATGGTAGCCTATGGCAACCCACTGCAGCAGGGGCTGCAGCCTACACCGTCGCCGGCAACTCACGGCAGCCCAGCTCCAGGTTGGGCTGTTGTTCAGCATCTTAGCTGCAGAGGGCAGCGTCACTGGCCCTCATATGTGGGATCCGAAGCGGAGCCCTCTGGTGTCCCAAGCCAGCTCTTAACCAACATGCCACTTGGCCAGCCCTCTTTCTTTTGTTTTTTAATCTACCTCACAGTAATGAACATCAATGTACATAAAGAACAACTTCATAAATTAAACCTGATGTCTTTAGATATATATTACTCTAAAAACTCTTATATGCGAAGAATTATATATTACATAATATAATTATATATTATATAATGTATAATTATATAATGTATATATATTATGTAATATATAATTATATAGGAATATGCTAACAAGTGAAAGAGAACTTCTCAAACTATACAGAACCTAAATACAAGCCAATAAAGTTATTTCCAAAACAAATTTTAAGTTTTTAAAAAAATACAGTATTTTACAATCTAGCCAACTGGGAAAATGAAATTTTTTTCTTGATAAATTATTTTAAAAGTTAATCAAGGCATATAATGAATTATTTTGATACATAATTATTTAAAATATAAAATTAGTGTTTTGTATTATTTTAAAACTATAATTTTCAGAAAAGGCTTTTAAAGTCAGAAAGTATTACTCTTTCAAAGATACCATAAAGTTGGAAGAATAAGTATTTTCATTACTTACTTTTCTGAGTAAATAAATTCAGGTTTTAAGAGGTATGTGATTATCTCAGGGTCACAGACTAAGACAGAGGAGAGTGACGAAGAGTTCACTAGCATAACCACATGGGATTTGGTTTTACTTTCTAACTTACCTTTCTATCTGTTACAGTAATATCCATTTTATACTGAGAAAGGTCTGCTCCTGGATCTATACTCCACTGGATATTTTCAAAGGATTCATCTTAGATAAAAAGGAAAAAAATACCTAATTAAAAATAGATTTAAAAAATTCTTATCACTTTAAAACATATGGGGCCCACAGAATGGGAGAAATATTTTTTGCAAATCATGTTTGGTAAAGGATTTGCATCTAGGATATATAAAGAACTTTTACAACTCAATAATAAGACAAATACCCCAATTAAAAAAGAGCAAGCAATATTAGTGGACAGTCCTTCAGAGAAGATATACAAATGGCCAATAAACACTTGAAAATATGCTCAACATCATTAGCCATCAGGGAAAGACCAGGGAAATCAAAACCACAATGAGGTAACACTTCACACCCAATAGGATGGCTCTAATCAAAAAGACAAATAATAACAAGTGTTGGTGAGACTGTAGAGAAATTGAAACCCTCACATTCTACCAGTGGGAATGTGAAATGGTGTAGTTGCTTTAGAGAACAGTTATATAGTTCCTCAAAAGGTTAAACACAGAGTTAGCGCATAGCCCAGCAATTCTACTACTATACACCCCCAGACAAAATTGTAAATCAATGCTCATAGCAGCATTATTCATAGTAAAAAAAAAATGAAATAGTAAACTCACAAAAGGTCATATATTGTATGATTTCATTTACATAAAAATTCCAGAAAAGGAAAATTTATAGAGGCAAGAAAGTAGATTAGTGGTTGCCTAGGACTGGGGAAGAGTGGTGGGGGAATGAAGAATGACTGCTAATGGGTACTGTTCTTTTTGGGATGATGGAAATGTTCTAAACTTAGAACTGTAGTGATGTCTGCACAACTCTGTGAGTATAGCAAACCACTGAATTGCTCATTTTAATAACGTGACTTTTATAATAAAAATTTTTTTAAAGTTAAAATTGTAACATTTAAATTGTTTGGAGGGGTTCTTCAATGTATGTAGATATACATGACAACTATATAAAGTATGAGGTGTGATCACAAAATACTGTGAATGTTTAAATTTAAAAAATTTATTACAGTAAAAGCCACATTGCCATTCATCCCCCTCAAAATACTCTCCCTCACTTCAAACACACTTATCCCATTTTTCTTGCCACTTTCTGAAGCAGTTCTGGAAGTCCTCTTTCATGAGTCTTTAGTCGCGTTGTCATGGCTGTCTCAATGTCTTGAATCATTTTGACTTTGGGGAAAAGCCAAAGGTCACATGGTGCCAGATCCAGTGAATAAGGTGGATGAGGACACACTGTAATGTTTTTATTTGACAGAAATTGCCATACCAGAAGTGATGTGTGACACAGCGTTGTCATGATAGAGGATGAAGTAAAGACACTCATGAAAGAGGACTTCCAGAACTGCCTCAGAAAGTGGCAAGGACGATGTGGTGTGTTCGAAGCGAAGGGGAGTATTTTGAGGGTGATTAATGGTAATGTGTCTTTTACTGTAATAATTTTTTTTTAATTCAAACATTCACTGTATTTTTTTATCACACCATGTATAGTTTCAGAACATAAAGTGGTACAGTATTAACTCTAAGTAGATTATGAAAGTGGGTATATACTGCAATTCTCAGAACACTCATTAAAGAAAAGATTAAAAAAAAAAGAATAAGGGTGAAAAAAATGTTTTTATACAGAGACTGAAAATCTTGTTGGAAGAACAACTAAAGACTATTCTTCAGGAAAAAAGGAAAATAAACCCAGAATGAAGGAATAACTTTCCAATGAAGAATAAAAGAAAAAATATTGCATATGAAGTACAGAAACATTTGGTGACTAAAAAAGAACAAGACTCCTTTTAAACAGCAAAATTACAAAGAGGTTAATATACATATTGCATATTAGAGCAAACAATGTTTTCAAACAAGAAGTTTAAAAACCCATATAAATTTATATATGCATATATTTATAGATATACATATAAATGCAAAAAAAAGGACAGGCAATCTATGGTGTGAGGAACAAGGTTTGGATGATGAAAATTCTAATTTATATATTTTTAACTTCTGCATAAATTTTTTAAAGCTTTTGTAGAGAAAATAATAAGTACATAAAATAGGTAAATCCACAAAATCACCTATAAAAGTAGGTATTAAAGATCTCAATTCATTTTTTTCAAAAAGCACGAGAAGGAAAATCACATGTAAAATGAACCCAACGAGACTAATTTTGTAAACATAGAAACATGCAGGAAGAAAGAAAATATTTCCCCCCCCCAAATTCAATCCATCCAATGGATGTAAATAATATATTTAAGACATTAATATATTATATATATTAAGATAACATGTCAAGAGAATATATGTAAAGAGTGGAAGTACTATTTATAGCATACTCACCTTGGTTGCTTTGTAGAGACTTTGTTTTAGCGATTCTACATGGGTTTAACTGAAGAACTGATGCAAGTTCACATGCTCCATGGACTGACCTGGTTTTTATTCTTACTGGTTCATGTGAACCAGCACCCTAAAACAGAAAGAATTATTAGCATCTAGATGAAATCACAACCATTTAAACCAAAATCCCCTGAACATTTAACACAAACCTTCACGTCATCAAAGAGGTTCTCTGTCTCCAAACTTTCACGTGGACGTAGAGGGACTTTAAAGATAGGATTTTCTTCTTTTATTTGTAATGGTGTTTTATTATCTGGAGAGGATTTACTCAAGGGCTGGGGGATGCACTCCTGTAGACAGGGCTCCTCTGGGGAATCTTTGGTTGGCTCACAGCTCCCACTCAAGGCCTTTCGACTTGAGGAAGAGCCCTTTGGAACAGGCTTCAAAGCCTCATAGAGAGTCACCTGCCTAAATCTGATTTTAGAGGTCTCACTTCCTTGGCTTTTCTCTTGACGCTGAATAGCTGAAAAGCGATCAGACAAGTCCAGAGGTTTATCCATTACATAGTCTCCATTCATAGTAAAATGACTATCCAGGGGAAAAGGAAAAGCGTTTTCTTTATCAAAAGAGGCTTGGGGGCAGCTTACTTCATCTTCACTTTCTTCCTCAATTTTCTTCCTTTTGGATGTTCTGCACCCCAGTGATTTCAAGGACACCACATGTTTATCTTTATCACTAATTGCATCTTTAATATGCCCAATACTATCCTGTTCACTTACAGATTCACTTATATTTTTATTGATAAGCATCTGCTTATTAGAAGATGACTGGCTAATGATCTTGTTCACTTCAGACCCAAGGTTATGATGTGTAAAAAGGGCACTATCTTCAGATTTTGATCTAGTTTTCTCTGATCTAGAATTAGAAGTGCTGCTGAAAGGTGCTGTTTTCAGATGTGTTTTTTTCCCAGTCTCTAAGAGAGAAGGCGACAAAGTTGTATTCAAACCAAAACTACTTTTCACATTAGAGGTAGCTCCAAATACAGGAGATGACACCCGAGTAGTCAGTTCTTCTTGAGGAGGAGTCTTTGAATTAGGATCTGAAAATCTAAAAAAACAACGAGTTGTAAAACTTTTTTCTAACTAATGAAATAGGGTAAAAATTCAAAGACAAGCATAATGAAGAAATGTTTGCTACTACAGAATTATTACTAGTAAGGTCTTATCCACACATTAGAGGCAGATAATTAATAGCAATTAAAACAGGATACAGTTGCTGGCTTCTCTTCATTTGGCTGACAAAAAGAGAAAAATGATTCCGCAAATCTCAATACCATGATATTCCTACCTATAAATATTTTTCCTAAATAGTTTAAATAACTACACTATATAAGAAAATCATATCTTAATAAATTCCACTGGGGAGGTTGTTATGAAATCTTGTCATGAGGAACTCCAAGAAACATAATTCTTATACTACACAACTAAACATAAATTAAGAGCCAGCGCGCCTCTAGCAGAGGCGATAGCTGTGGTAGTAGAAGAGTATTAGGTTTGAGTTTGAAGACATGGGATGGGTAAGAGCTCTGTCTCTAGTATTTAATAGCTATGTGGCCTTAAGCAAGACATTTAACCTCTCTGGAGCTGCATTTTTTTTTTATTGTAAAACATGAGTAATAAAACCTACTTTAATGAGTTACTATGATAAATTAAAAGTAATATATTTAGATTTTCAATCTAAAATTGAAAAGCTCTTTTAAAAGAAAAATGCTGCATAAATATAGGTATTACTAGTTAATGAATGTCCTGAAATTAGTAAAAAAGAGATGCAACACAATAGCTTATCCAAGGTTACAGATGCATTTTATAAAACATCCAGTTTTTGGAAACACAAACCAAGAAGGGATGACTGGTTCTTTAAAGTAGCAGAGTAACAAGTGGGAAAATTCTTAGGTACTGCTTGATAGAACTACAGTAAGAATCTAAAAATATCCATTGCTCTACAGTAATGCAAAAAGCCCTCAATTCGTCATAAACTGGAGAAGGTATTTTTTAAAATAAAAATTAATACAACCAGAATAACAAACTATATGCTGAGCGAGAGAAAAGGGTTAATTATATGGAACCCATTGTAATGGGATTTCACCAACAGCTGATAAATTTTTATGTAAGTGCCACAAATTACCTTAAACTATCTTCATTATTTCTTATAGATTCCTCAAAAGGTTGTTTCTTGTGATCTCCTTCCAGACAGGGGTAGAGCTCATCACCAAGAGGGCTCATGGGACCTTGAGATTCCTTCAATAGTAAAATATAAAGTATATAAATACAATGGAAGGTTTTTCTTCCTTAAAAAGAAATGATATACTGATACATGCTACGATATGAATAAATCTAAAAAAGAGGAAAAATGAAAGAAATAAGACTGAAATGCCACACAGTGTATGATTCAATTTATATGAATAATCCAGAATAGGTAAATCCGAAAGGACGGAAAGCAGACTGGTGGTTTCCAGGGAAATAAGGGAATAAGGACTGAATGTTTAACAGGTATGGGGCTTTCTTTCAGGATGATGAAAGTGCTTTGCTACTAGATAAAAGTGGTAGTTGCAAAATATTGTGAATATGTTAAATGTCATCAAATTGTACACTTTAAAATGGTTAATTTTATGTTATATGCATTTCACCACAATAAAAAATATGAAACATATTTTAAATTTAAAGAGAGAAAAGCATTAATATTTTACTATTTTAGGTAAATACATTCTATTACTGGTATATAAAACACCAATTCAAAAAACAACAACAAATGAAACCAACATTATTAAGATGAGGTGAAGGGGCAGAGATGATTATTTATACTGACAGGAAATGAACTGAAAAGGATCATTTAGAGAGTAGTGGTTTTCAAAGTTTAACACAAGTTCAGTCAACTGGGGATCCTGTTAAAATGCAAGTTCTCTTTCAGTAGGTCTGGGGTGTTATCTGAGATTTTATATCTCTAACAAACTTCAAGATGATGCAAATGCTGTTGGCCTGTGGATCACATCTGAGCAGCAAGTTCTTAGAGATCAGCAGCAACCTTAATATATTTGGAGTCTAAACTACTGACTTGCCAGGCTTACGGGTAAAAGGGAATTAGAAACCATTAAAACACATTTAAAGTTCAAATGCTAAAACAACCCACTATTACTTGAATATGGATTTAAAACTAGAAAGAACAACAAAAAAATCCAAATGTAATGAAAAATATAATTCAATTTTTACAAATTCAATAGCAAAGCAATTTTATAAGAGCACATATATTATACATTAATTAAAGCAAAGGAATACTTTTCTAAAGTTGTATCAAAGTGAAACTTCCTTAAGATTGAAGAATCCAAGTTTTCTATTTTTAGAAATTAATTAAGAAAAAAAGTAAATGTGACTGATGCACGGAAGTACTAAAATAACGAAAAAATCAGCAGGTCATTTACTGACCCAAACCCTAAGTCTATTTGGATAGGCACTTCTTAGGACAAAGGAGAACTAAAGTGTATATAATAGTTTCAAGAATGCAGCCTGTTTTTCAAATCAAACCCCAGTTTAAAGGATGCTGAAAAGATCCAATAAATTCTGAAATCAACCTAAAGGTTTAAGTCTTCTCTTAGATGAAACAGGGTAGGAATAGGGAGATGAGAGGGGGCAAGGAAGAGAGTTGGCTAAATCCTCTAAGCCATTATCACTTCTCTAAATTTTGACTCAACCCATAACTTGTATCCCAAGAATTCTAAAGACTAGATTTCTGGGACTGCATGGGGTGGAAAATATAAATGGGCCTTCCTAGCCATATCAATTTTGTTCTAGGCCTTTAACTAATGATCTTTGGGAAAAAAAGTTTTTCTCTTGCTCAATTTTCTAAGAGCTGACCTAAAAGGACACCAATTAATTCATATTATCACCAAACTAAACAACTACTTACAGATTCTTCTGGCGCACTAATTCCGAGCGTCTCTGCAACAATTGTAGCTAAATTAAAAGATGACTTATCAGTGGGATAACTGCTTGTTCCACGTGTTTCTAAGTAAGAAAAACCCAAAAAAACCCCCAATTATATAATTGTTGAAACTCGATGTACAAAAGAAATACAAAAAAAGGAATAAATGGCTCAAAGAACCACTGAACAAGATGGCATTGGAGAATTCTTAAAATTCTGCGCAAAAAAGCCCCAAATATCTACTATACAAGGCAGTAAGTTGCAGATCTCTATTGTCTCTACTTGTCAAACTTTTTCAGCTAAGTTTTCTATCTATCCTAAGTGAGATGAATGCAAGAGATAGATTATTTTTCTTACTGCCACTGAAAAAAACCATATCTATTTATAATGGATTTACTGTGACCTAAGATACAGTATGGCTATCAAACCACATTTATGGTACCTTTCACGAAAACATATTTTGTGGGAGAGATTTTCAGCACTGCATAATTTTCAAGTTTTAAGCTATCACATATTTATACAGAAATCACCTACATTCAAATGTTATATAAAGTTTTATGCATATAGAGTTCCACTAACTCAGTAAGTATTTATGGAGCACATACTATGTTCCAGGCATTGTGCCTTCTTGAGCCCAGCTCCTACATATCGGTCATACACATTCTCCTGCAACCCCAGGCACAGTTCACATGATGAAAAGATTCCTGTCCTCAAGAAGCTTACAGCTATAGTTAAAATAGAAAGGCAAAAAGAGAACTGCAGTAAAACGGGATAAACATTATAATAAAATACATAAAAAAGGGGTGATTTAAACATAGAAGGATTCCTAAATTTGCCTTGGAAAATGAAGAAAAGTGACACCAAGTGATGCCTAAGCTGACCGTTGGAGAAGAGGAATTTCACAGGTTAACTGGACTGAGGGCAGAGAGAAGTGTTCTAGGTCTGTGTAATGGTCCATATATGAAACAAAATTACATGTGGTTCAATTGCTGGAAATAAAAGTGCAGAAGATGCAGATGCAGCAGCAGCAGCGGGACATAAGCCCAGACAGGTCGGTGAGGGATCAGATTATGCTAAAGAGTTTAAAATTTATCCTGTAGGCAATGAAGAGATATACAAGGGTTTTTAATGGAGGATAGATGCAATATTTGGGTTTACAAAGTAATTCTAGTAGTGATAGGCTGACAGAGCAAGAAGCAGTCACGAGTAGGCAGGATGACATTAGATTACTACAATAGCCTGATGAGGGGTGCTGATGGCCTCAACTAGCACAGTGGGGGTGCAGGAGAATGTGTATGCTAGACATGTGAGGAGGAGGGATCAGGAAGACTCGAAGACTATTTACATATGGGAGATGAAGACACAGGAGGCTAGGATAACTCAAAGTTTTTTGATTTAGGTAACTCAGAGAGGTATGTAGAGTGTCATTCACTGAGATTGTAAATAAAAAGACGAGGAGCAGGTCTGACAAGAAAATTTCAATTCTGGACATACTGTAGTTGAAGGATATCCAGGTAGAAACGTTCAACAGCAGGCGGATACACTGGTTTGGAATCCAGGGGAAAAATCTTGGACAGAGATATAGATTTGGGATTTATTCTTACATAGGTTGTAGCAGAATACTAACTCAGGGTGAGATTCCTCCAGAAAGAGAGAGAAAGTGAGACAAGAACAGACTAAGAACCATACATATCTGGGACAGTAACAATTTAAACACAGAGAAAAGAATAGCCAATAAAGTGAAAAAAACAAAACAATAAGAAGTAAGAGAACCAGGAAAGTGGCACCATTTCAAGAAATAGAGCATGCTGAATAATGCCAAATGTCACAGAAAGGTCAAGAAAGAGAAGGACTGGGAAGCAGTCATTACATTTAACAATCAGGAGATCCCTAACGACTTTTACAAAGCTGTTCCAATGGAATGAGTTAGAGAAGAGTGTGAGAATATCCCCCCCCCAAAGGTCCCCCTCCCTTCCTCTGTGCCCCTCCCCCACCCTCTTTGGGGATGGGAGGGGGGAGTGAATCCATACTATAGTGAATTCAACCCGAGTGAATGGGAGTTGAGACGAGATATTGAACACAGATCAATCACTTTCTCAACTTTGAAGGGTGGAGACCATTAAGAGACAGGTTATTTTTAAAAGATGAAAGATAACATATATTCATATGTTGAAAAGAACCTATAGAGAAGCTGGAGATATAGAAAAAGAGGACAACTGATACAGTCAAGTCCCAGCAGCAGCGGAAGAGCAGGGGCTCCAGAGCGCTGAGAAGCAAGGATCCGGCACACTAGATGCTATGTCCTCAGCACCCTTTGCCAGTCTGTCCACACACATGCACACATGCTAATATGAAATGATTTGTAGCTTTCAGAGTGTAAGTTTTGCACTATAAAACCTATGAATGAGTGAAATGATGAGTGACTGACCTTGGCCAACCCAACTGGTCTCTGGATCCCATCTCCTCTCATCTCAAGGCTCTAGCAATTGTTCCCTCCTTCTCCAGGATTACCCATTTCTCTCCATTTACTTGGTAATTCCAATGACATAAAAATATGCTGAATGTGCTGTAATATCCCGTGTTTTGAAGGACTTGTTTAGAAGTGCTCTCTCCACTTTCTCTGACCCTAGTTTCTCTTAAACGTGGAACAGTCTAGTTGATCACCCTTACACTTTAACAGTTCACATGACGGGTTTAATGCTCAGTGATCTCCATGCGATCAAATCTAATGATCAGTCCTCAGTCTTCATCTTCCCTGATCTGTGAGCACTGTCGGCCACGGTTGGGCACCCCCTCTTCTCTCCACCATCTTTTCTTAGCTCTCCTATCTCACTGGCAGCTCCTTCACTGGCTACTTGGTTGGTTCCTCATTTTAACAACCTCTAAACCACTGCTTCTATAGTTGTGATACTGCCTCCAAAGGGGTAAAAAATGGTTCTTGGGGGATAAAAAACAGAACAAAACAAAACTCTTTTTATGTGTAAGGCACATACATACACTCATACCATATAGCTGCAGTGTTAAAATTCCATGGGAGAAGTGACTAGAGGAAAAAAATATCTACAAAGGCTGGGGTTGGGGTGATAATAAGACTGAGATTACTATTTTATACAACGGAGTACCCCAGGTCTAAGTACTTGGATTTCTCTATCCACACTCACTGGTTTGGTAATCTCATCCAGTTTCATGGCTTAGATACCACCTATATGCTGACAACTTCCATTCCTCGATCCTAGACTTCTCTAAACGCACATCCACCTACCTATCCAAAATATTTACCGAATGTCTATCCAACATCTCAAACAGAATACTTTCAAAAGCAAGCTCCTGATTTCTGACTTACCACCGCCTGCAAACCTGCCGCTCGCATTCTCTTCCTTCTCGGTAAACAGCAACTCTGGGGACAGAGCTGCCCAAACCAACGGCAGCTTCATCCACTCTGCCCACCACACAGGCATCCTCAAGGTCAAAGAGCCAGACAGCACCCCCTCATGGCCTTTGTGCTGGCTGACCTCTCTCCCCGGGGGGCCTGCCCCCAGAGAGCCACATGTCCCTCAGTCTTTGCTCAAATGTCACTTTTTAAATGAGGGTTTCTAATATCTCTTCTTACCCTGCTTTATTTTTATTCAGAGTACTTACTTCCTCCAAATAACATACACTTATTTCCTTTCTCTCCCACTGAGACTGTAAGCTCTATGAGGTTAAGGGCTTATTTTGTTCAGTGGCTGGTATACAGTAAACGCTACAATATTTGTTTAATCAGTGAGTAAATCAGAGTAAAGCCCTGTTATAGTTATTAGCAATTTATATTATATAATAACTTATAGTTATTAGCAATTTGCATTAATATGGATAGGGATATTAATATGAATTTGTATTAACATGGATAGGGATATTAATATGACAGAATAACATTATTTTTCAATATGAAAAAGGTTGCTAAACAACTAGTAATACAAACAAAATTAACAAAAAATATTTTAAAATATCATCTAATTCAGTGTTGACCATTCTTGCCCCAAAATAACCATAAATTGTAAACTTATAAAATAATCTCAATATCTTGCTTACTAGCCATTGGAGATTGACTTTGATCACAAGTGTCAGCCACTAGAATTTCATTTTCATTAGGCTTATGTTGTGGATGAGTTGAAGATTTTGAAACTTTTCTCAATTCTATGGAGGGGAAAAAAGGAGAGATTATCTATAAACAACCATGATAAAAAATATTATCAAAATGTTATTTTGATAAGCCAATACAAACCTGTCTTTAAATGCATTAGAAGTGCTATTTCATTGATATAATTTTCATATTCTAATAAAAAGTTCATTCCTACATTTTCGCCAAGAAACAAAGCTGGAAGAAGTAGTTAGGACAGTGGGAGTAAGAACTAGAACAGAAGCATCTTCTGACCTTAGTCCCCTGGAATTGTAATATTTTAATGTATCTTTCCCCTGTGTATTTGTTGCAAGTCAGTAGGTTAATTTAAAATGAATGCTGCATCATATATTTCCACAATCTTGTTTTAGTTTTTATTTTTCTGGAAGGAAATCCTGAAATATGCTTTACCATAAATAATTCAAAGAAAACCAAAAAAAAAAAAAGGACTAAGTAAAGGCAAATAGAGTTTTACTAATAATAACCTGAAAATAATATTAAAAAGCACTATAAACTTTAAAATAAATGAGCAACGGTGGTTAGAAAGAGAAAATGACTAGTCATTAAGTCAGTTTTAAAATAATTTGCATGGCTCAAAATTTGTCTTGTATTTTAAACCAAAATTTCAGATTCCAAGTAAAAATTATCAGAACATGATTAAAATGGACAAATTAAGTTTTTAAATAGTTATATGTTATTCTCATATAATGAAGAAATAAACCAGAAGCATTTATAATAGATCAAAAGAAGGCTTTCCTAATAAAGAAAATTGTTGATTTGTTTGCTGAATAGTCTTATACATGGATTTAAATATTACCTAAATTATGCAGATGCTTATCTGTAGTGATTCATGTCCTGTCTGATAGCAGACGAAAAAGCCAATGAATATTCATTCTAGAGATATGATCTTACATTTTACTTTAGCTCCTAAATATGTATAAGATTTTACCAGTTCTTTTGTTTTCCACTAGATGGTGATGCAAGCTCATATAAAATGAGGAAAATTGTATCAGTTTTCCAATATCAAAGAATAAGGTCTACTTATATTTTCAAAGGCACAGTTACTGTTAACAATTTATTTGCATTATAAAATTATCTCTAGGACTATGTACACCCCTTCACCCTCAAATGCTTTCTTTGTCACAAACAGTTTAGGTTAAAAACTAAAGTCTTTACCGTTTACTTTAGATCAATATTGAAATGCACAGTTATTGTATCATGTCACATGATAAATTTCAGGACTACATTAAAAAGGTAGTTCCAAAGCATTTAACAGAAATGGTAAACCAGCCTGGAATTAGAAATATGCCACTGATAAGGCACAAAGTAGATACATTATAAAGTCACTTCTTGATTACCACCAATTGCTACATATTATAACAAATGAAAAATGCCAGTTAAAGACAGCTCCAATAGTGGGAATAGCTGTGGGCAAAACCTGGAAAATACAAAAGTTTAGAGCCAGGAAGATCTATATTAGAATTTGGACTCATCTACTTACTTGAAAGGTCATCCTGGGTGAGTTATTTAACCCCTTTAAAAAGCATCTTTTGGGCGGGCCGAGTGGCGCGTTGGTTAAGAACTGGCTTGGGACACCAGAGGGCCCCGGTTCGGATCCCACATATGAAGGCCAGTGACACTGCCCTCCACAGCAAAGGTGCTGAACAACAGCTCAACCTGGAGCTGGGCTGCCGTGAGTCGCCGGCGACGGCGTAGACTGCAGCCCCTGTGGCAGTGGGTTGCCACGGGCTACCGTGTGTAGTGAACGGCCAGCAGCCACAGTGAGCGGCCGTCCAGAAGCCCGTGACTGATCTGCCTCGCCCGGGAAGAGCACAATGATGGTGCCAACTTGGGCCAGTGAAGCAACGTCCTCCACAACTAGACTGAAGAACAGAAGGACAGCAACTTGTCTGTTCCCCTTCCTCCAATTCCCCAATAAAAATCTTTAAAAAAAAAGCATCTTTTGTCATCTATAAAATATAGGTGCTAATAGCTACCTTGCAAGCCTGTCAAGAGAGTTAAAATATAAGTGTATTTAAATCACTCACCATAATACCTGGCACACAGCAGTTATCCCATTCATATATATTCACATAAGAATATTTTTTAAATAAAAAGAAAAAAGGAAACTATTTACTATATGCATAAAATGCTGAGCATTTACATATTCAGAAGAGCAATGCATGTCTTTACATAATATAAGCAGAAAATGACTTCCCCATCACTTTACTAATTGAAGTTAAATTTACAGTTGTAACATAAGTTACCTGAACAATGACCTTCACTAGATTGAATAACACACACACACACACACCCACACCCACACACACACACACACACACACACACACACAAGTACTATTTTTACAAAACCAAATAACTATAGTGCAACTCTAATCCTTACCGTTTGTACAAACAGAGTGCTCTGATTTAGTATGTGCTTGTTCTGCGTATCGGACATGGAGGTTCTCCTTTCTTCGTAGCCGATTAATGCCAGAAAATGAAAAGGCTGTTATTGGTGAATCTGGAATAACAGTTTCCTCAGATTCAAGCTCAGCTGCTTGATGCTGTTGATCATTCCTACAGGAAAATAATGACAATTGAAAGGAAATTAATTCAATAAATATCTACTAAAACATTTACCATGTGGTATGGAGCTAGAGCAAAATATAGGTATGAAACTATAACAGATGTAATTCCTTGCAAATAATGTTCAAAATCTAAATATAAAGATTAGAGAAATATTCAAATGAGTATTAGAGTGGGGAATATTATTGTGAGAAGTGAAGTACATACAAAGTGTAGTTGCTGGCACCTGAAGTGAAATTTTACAAGTTTCAAATGGCAGAGAAAGTCAGCAGAGGATCTGCACAGTTTGAGTAAGACGCGCAATAAGTATTACTGTTACCTGTGTTAGATGGGTATGCTGGAAATACACAAAGAAGAGCCTTGCTTAAGTGTGCACATACTACTTTAGAAAGCAAGAGGAAAAGAATGAAGGTTTTAGAGCATGGCAGTAATGTGACAATCTAGCGGTAGTACACAAGGTTGACTGGGACAGAAAGAAGAAACAAGGAAATCAATTAGGCAGTGGCTCTAATAGTCCACGCAAGAGCTTCTGTGGGTCTGAACCAGGATGTTAAAAACAGCGATGGAAAGAAAGGGCCCAATGGTAAACACTGTGGTAGAAGAGCCAACATAACTTTGCAACTGACAAAAATAGGGTAGAAATAATACTAACACTGATAATTACCAACAGTCTTGCACGTTTACACTGCCAAGCACTGTTCAAAGTGCTACATGTATCAGTTTAATTCTCATAACTATATGAGCTATTACGAATACTCTCGCTTTCCAAATAAGAAAACGAAGCTACAGAAGTTGTCACTTACTAAAATAGTAAATCACAGAACCAGAATCTAAATCCTGGCAGCCAGACTCACAGGACAATAGTGTTAACCACTCAATGTGTTATCCTTAGTGTAAACCATGAGACTAGTGACTGGCTACAAGTAGGATCTAACCTTATAGTTTCTGACATTGCTTCTATCCAAGCCCCCTTACAGTCTACTCGCAACACATCAGTCAGAACAGTCCTATTAAAACTTGTCATATTACATCACTTCTCTGATTAAGACCTGCCACATTTCCCCATTTCACAGAAAACACAAGCCATTTCCTTTTAATGATTTACAAGGTCCTACATGATCTCTCTGACCTCTTTTCCCATCGTACTCTACTCCAGCCACCCTAGATTTCTCAAGTTTCCTCAGACACACCAGGCATACTTCTACCTTAGGTTCTTTGCTCTAGCTGTTCCATCTGCTTGGAATGCTCACATAATTACCTCACCTACTTCAAGTCTCTGCTGGAGTTTTACTTTCTCATCAAGGCCTACCTTGAACACACTAAAATTGCAACTCTCTTCCTATACCCTAGTACTCTTGGTTCCTTATTATGCTGCTCTATTTACTTTATCCATAACATTTACTGCTTTCTAACACAGTATATAATTGACTTTTCTATTGCTCACCTGCCAGAATGTAAACTCTGAGAGTATAAGGATCTTTGGCTCACTGATATATGTGTCCACAAGAATAGGTACATAATTGGCGCGCAATAAATATTTCCTGAAAGACTGAATATGAGAAATTCTCAGGTTCCACTAGAAAAATAAACGTGTGCTGATCTAGGTATATGTCCAACTCAACTCAGGACCAGTGGCACCTAAAGACTGGATTTGGATTAAAGTGTGGTGATTGAGTAAAGCTAATTAACTTTAACTCAATTGACTTTCCCTGTCAAACCATTACTAACTTTGTCAGCCAACCAATTATTACCAGTCTGTCACGTACTTAGGATTTACATGACAAAACAAGTCTGTCCTATTATACTCATATCAATTTGTAATACTATTTTCAAACAAACAATAATATGAGAATATTATAAACTACAACCAACAGATTAAAAAAATTAGAAATAAATTTTTCCTAACACTGATTTATATCTTAATTTCCTGGATAACATCAATATTATTGTGGTCTATAAATCCTATATTCTATACTGAAGATTTTTAGAGCTACTACCTTATTTTTAATCTCTCCTTACAAATTCTACTGTCTTATTCCGGAAAAACAGAGTAAGCTAGTCATATGAGAAAGCCTTATAAATTAATGGAGTGTGAAATCTATCTGACCTCACTTTAATCACATCACAGCCTACCTGCCTATTAGTCATAAAAATTCATCCTGAAATATGAATGAGTCACGAGAAGAAATTGATTTCCTGGCAGAGCCAATCTAGAAGTAGCTGAAATCACAAAAGAAAGAAAAAAAACAATAAAAAACTAGCTTTAACTAGATGTGTCCAAACTAAGTAAACAAGTGCTGGCTTTGTCCTCCTTTGTCCTTCATCATAAAAAAAAGGAGAAACAAAACAAAACAACTTCCAAGTGTTAATCAATTTCTTCTTGAAAGCCTTCGGTCTCACTCTCATTTGCTGAGAAAAGTTCAATTCACGCCACAGCTTTTGGTTAAATTAGTTATGTACTTGGTCATCTTGCTCCTTTCACTTTTTCTTCAAATGGCTTGAGAATAATTTTTCTTTTTTGGTTGTCTACTTTATTTGTAGGCCTCCCCCTTAAATTCCTGTCAAATAGTTGGTCTATACAGGGTCTCTATAAAGTCTGTAAAAAAGTTTTTAACGTTAAACTTTTCTCCTCCTCTAAAGAGCTTATATACTTCCAGTTAAAACATAATTTAAACTTAATTGAAGCAGTTATAGCTATCAAGTTCACTTAAATATTTTGATTTTCAAAAAAGGGAAGACTCCCTAAAATACAAACCAGTGAATCTGATACGCTGAATCTCTTGAAACCTGTATAAACTTATATGAGTAATTCAAGTAAGACTAATTTTAAAATATAGCGCTATGAAAGCAGCTGTTCTAAAGAATGGTTTATTCTTTATCTGGCTCTCAGGAAGGCATCTGATAATGATTCTCTTGATAATTCTTCATTGTAAACAAAAAGAAATATAAACTCAGTATTAATATAGACTCTTGATTAAACAATACCACATAAAGAACTATCATTAGTAAAGGAAATCGGTAGTAGCATGCCTCAAGGTTCCATCCTCAGGCAGGTTTTGTTCAACATTTTATTAATGGTTTTTGATGCAGAGCACTGATGGAATATTCACCAAATTTGTGAAAGACACAAAGGTGAGAAGAAAAGCTAACCTACTATATAGGAGGAAATAAAATTAACACATGAAAAGACCCCCAGAAGTTGGAATGGGCCAAACCTAACAAAACAATAGAGAATAGGATGTGAGATATTAGCATCACTGAACTGAGTCAGAGAGAAAGAATCCAGGCTCTGCCATCTACACAGTGACACCATGTAGGGGAATTTCTGAGGCTGTTTCAGCAGAAAACTATAGAAAGCGTATACAAACTCTCAAGTGAGGTAGACCTTGGTTCAAATCCTGAGTCTGACACTTACTTGTTACATTGGGTAAGTTATTTAACCTTTCTGAGCCTCAGTTACCTATGAAGTAGGTATGGTACTATATTCTTTCCTACTTCCTTTTTGTAGGAAAGTTGTGAAAAGGAAAAATATATGTAAAGATGTAATTTAATGCTCAGATAAGAAGTATTTCTCAACAGTGCTATTATCTTAAAATGAAGGCGCAGGCTGAAAAAAACTTGTGATGAAATGTGACTCTGAATTCCTGTATTTATATCTAAAACAAGTCTACAAGTAGAGGATAGGGAGTACTAAACCCAATAAAGCATCACCAGTAATATATGTATGTTTTGACCACTTGAAAATAAGTAAAAAAGATACAGAAAAATGGAGGAGGCAGTATTACTCTATTGGCGAGGCTATCTAGAATATTGAGTTAATTAACATATTGACAAAACTAAAACATTAAAGAGAAATGGTATTTTGAAGATCACACGAGGAACAGTTAATGAACAGAGAATATTAATTCTAAAGAAAACTAGGGAGGGCCATGATAGCTGTCTTCATGCATACAAAGGGACAACAAGTAAAACAGGCGGTAAACTTGTCCCAGAAGGCAAAAATCAGAATAAACAAATATAACTTCTGAGTTAGAGTGATTTCTACACAAACTTACAAAAAACTTTCTAATAATTTCATCTCACTAAAATTAAACAGGTTTGCACTAGTGGGGCTCAGACAAAGCTTTCTATTAAAGAAGTCGTATAAGGAATTCAATCTATCAATAGAAGAGAGTGCTGAACTAAATGAATCCTACAGTCCTTAAGTGTGTAGACTTAAGTATAACTGTTTCCTTTGATTTGCACTAAACTAGCACATTCATTTCCTCAAACAAAAAGAGTCATGACCTCTATGTCTGGCTTATTTAATTATTTGCTTTGCTTTCTGTGACTAGTAGAGTCGAATATATTATATATATAAATACTTTATAACAGCAAATTGTTACTGAATAATTTCTCATCATAGTGTCACCAACACGAAACAGCTGTCCTACCACATAAGGTATTTGTAACACCAAAACCAGCTTAGATGAGTTAGAATTACTGCATTTCACAAAAAGTGTAAGCTAAGTAGTACTTTTTTTCTAAAATTCAGGGGAATTTGAGGCACTAGTATTATGTTGCAGTGGCTTAGGTAGTCAGAAGAAACTAGGCTGTCTTTACAAGATAATACTTGGTGTTTTTTTTAAACTGCCAAGCAAAAGAAAATTTGTTTGAGGAGAGCAAGTTACAAAAAAAGCTGGATTAGTCAACTATAATTTTATATATATATATATATATATATATATATATATATATATAGTCACAAGATGTGTAGTACAGCACAGGGAATAGAGTCAATGGCATTGTAACAGCTATATATGATATCAGAGGGGTAGTAGATTGGGGGAGGGGTGCTATCACTTTGTGAGGGATGTAAATGTCTAACTAGTGCATTGCTTAGAACACCTGAAACTAATATAAATAAATAAATAAATAAATTGGATTATGAGAATAACTATCTTAAATTTCAGAACAGAACTGAAAAACACAATAGATTACCTCCTGCACTGTTCTAAGGAATTCCCTAAATAAAACATACTTGCCCTGAGCTCATCTATTGGGTTGTATGAAAAGTCAAGATGCATTTTTGCAATGAAAAACATGACTTTTCCGACAACCCAATACATGATTAATCATTACTGTAATTTCAAACTTCGGCTTTTACATCTTTTTTAAAATATCAATTAGCGTCAACAGAAAAAATATGACTTTGAGAACACTAAAAATACATAATTCTGATTAATTTGGATTAGTATTTCTACCAAACAAATTATATTATCTAGTTTTAATATATTTTATACACCTTGGTTTTTGAGGTAATCACCTAATTCTGTATTAACCTCTACACAGTATCTTCAGTATTCATAAATATCAAGGCTGTGTTCAAAATATTGTAAGCTACCTGTGCTAAATAACTTCACATAACATAAATTAATATAGGTCAACATCACTTATCTGTACTCTTTGTAAACTAAATGTGATTCAGAGTTCACATTGTTTTTTACATGAAGGGTAATAGAGAGCATATACAGATTATTACCTAACACCTCCAGTGGAGCCTGAGGCATCCTGTAGTCAAGCACATTGATATTTTTAAAGCAAAGCATAGGAATGCGGTGTGATAAATAAGGACCATAAATAGCATCCTGTCAGTTGAGGTGAAGTGAGATTGTGAATAACATTTCAAAAAAAAAACAAAAAAACACCTTTTGGGTTTTGGAGTCACATTTAAAAGACTGGATCTTGTTCTAGCCTCACTTCAATATACAGCATAAGTAAAATTAGTTAACTGTTGACATTCTCATACACACAGTTTGATAACTTCTGTCTGATCCTCTAGCCTTCTTTCTTCATCTATTAACCTCCCTCAAAATTCCCTTTGGCTACCAATCTTCAGTGGACTAATCACATGGGAGGAATATCAAAATCCTATTGAACATCCACTACCGAAAAGTATAATGAGATAAAGGTGTTAATTCCACCTGTGAGACGTTTATACATAAAACAGTAACTATTCTATGCCAAAATAATGGTACATCTGCATAGTTTGTACCAAAGTTGTTGCATTCAAATGCAACAGAATCTTGAAGAGCCCTATAAAACCATTAAGGCTCTCCTGAATCCTAATTCTTATAAGATACTATATAAGCTTTATATACATCGGAAATAAGAGCTGGTCGTATGTCTGCTCTGCATCAGTCAACCCATACCCAGAAAATAGATTATTTATTTGAGACACTGTCACATAATGAAAAGAACTGAGACATTTAGGTCAGAAGATACGGGTCTGAGCGATGGTCTTAGAACCTACTAGCTGTGAGACCATGGCAAGTTGTGTGACTTTTGTGAGCTTTGGTTTCCTCAGCCATAAAGTAAAGGTAATAAAATTACCTTGAAGAATCATAGTGAGGATTAGAAATCATAAACATGAAACACAAAGAAGAGTAACTGGTACACAGGATAAAAGCTATTTTTATTCTTTAAGAAAAATGGTGGGACAGTGGAGAGATCAGAGAGAGAAAGTTCTTGAGGCCTGAGAACATGTTAAGAGGAAACACTTATTCAGTTCGCTTTTATGAAGCTTCTGGGACAGGACTGGAAGAGAGGTAACAAAACTCAAATATTATTTGAAATATGAGTATTTTAATAATGTATTATGTATAATCATAAAAATAAAAATGCTTTAAATTAAAATGTTCAGATACTTTGTCTATAAACTTGCACACTAATCTAAAATATGCATATACACTCTTCATATATACTCCAAAAACATGAACAAAAATCTAGTGATTTTCTTTATATTTTTATTGCGTAACACTTAATCATTTTTAAAAAATGAAATCTGCAACTCTTAATACATCTTTACAGTTTGTACGGCTAAGTAAAATGAAGAAAGAAAAGTTGGGGGAAAATATCAATTTTCTGTTGCAATTTAGAAAAAATACTTACTCAATTTTCTGCTGCAGCTGTTCAGAAAGCTTTTTATTTTCTTCCTGTAGAGTATTCTTCTCATTCACTTAAATATAATGTGAAAAAGAAGGCACATATTATATAACTCTATTAACATGTATGTCAGGCTTTTTAAATAATCTCAACAATTACGGATACATTAGAATTTCTGAGTCATAATGTTAGGGTTAATGTTATTGTGCAAAACTAATTTGTTACCAGGTAGTGATTACTACATCTCCTATTGTGCCAGTTCCATATAAATGATTAACTGATAATTTTATGTAATGTTTGTGGGCAAAAAGAAAGAGTACCTCATGTACTGGGGAGTAGAGTCTAATTATTCATACTGAGGACAAGAAAGCATTCCATCTGGTCACTCAGCCCTACTAATTTCAAATGCCATTTTAGTGACAGTCATTTATCTTGAAATAAATCTGATTATAAAAGTAATATAACACTGAATATCAGTGTAATTTTTATAACATAAACACACTTAAGTCAAATTTTCTTCCTCAGTCATACGCTATGTTTCATGAATAATTATGGTATCAGTAATCTAAACACATCCATTGAAGTAGTTATCTGTTTGTTTGAATCTGCCTCAACTAAATTTTCCTAACCATTCTTATTTAATTTATAAAGCAGAAATTCAATTTTGGGCTATAATTTTTACTGCAGTCAGCACAAAATTCTTATCAATCCTTAGTATGATGTCACTGCTTAAGTGTGTGTTTTACTAGGAGGAATATATACAAGAGATCAAGCAAGAAAATACAATTAATCTCTACCAAAGAAAATTCATCATAATCTAAAAATTTGTGAACAATTTACTGTTTTACAAATCTAAACATATTTTCATACATTGAGTAAATAAGCTTTTTTGGCTATCTACAATATGTGAGGTTGTTAAACTATCTGTTGTGGAGAATCTAAAAAAACTTAAGATATGGACAATAACCTAAAGGAAAGTATAGTGTAATGAGAGACAAGCTATTGGGTTGTTGGAAAAGTCATGACGCATTTTTGCAACGAAAACCAGAAAAATACATCATGACTTTTCCGACAACCCAATATTACGTAAACGTGTTATACAGCTGAAAGTGACAAAGGCCAGTAGAGAGGGACAGATAAAGTATTCTAGAAAATTTCAAGGAGAAAAAGGTTGCTTTGGGCCCTTGAAAAGATCAGGAAAGAATTCATCACAGAGAAGACATTTGAGCTGGATTGGTAGGTGACTATTCTATGCAGAGAGTTAATGGAACAAAGTTAGAAAGACTGGGCATAATAAATGGTAGAAAGCCTTCAAAAGCAGGCTAAGAAGTCTGAAATTTATCTTAAAAATTATCAGTTAATTTTCAAAGATGAATGATGGGAAGTTTAATTTGTTAGTATTTGTATATATACCAAAGTGAGAAGAAAGCATTGACAAGTCGGGTATCATTAAAATAAATGAGTATATGGAATAGGAAGTGGGAATGGGCAGAAGAGCTGTTAGAGAGACAGAAAAAGTAGTTATTTGGCAACTTATCCTTTATAGGGTAAGAGAAGTCAAAGATGACCATAGCTTTCTGATTAAGATGGTTTACTTGACTCTGCCTCTCCAAATCTAATGAAATGATAAAACAACTTGAAAAGTATGTCAATTTGCAATACTGAAAAGCCAAAAAGGGTGCCACTAGCAGATGAGAACTAAAATGATGATGAGATGAGAACTAGATGATTCAGAAGAGGATTGAGGTGTTACTTTATATTTTAGGAATGCATGATAAAATTTCAAGATTGATCAAAAAGAATAGAAATAAAGAGTTAGAGAAATAGAGTAAAGGATCAAATGAAAATAAAATTAAAACACCAAATATCCTCTAAATGCAGTAACTGGGAATAGTAAAAACAAACAAACAAACAAACAAACAAACAAACAAACAAACAAAAGAAAAGGCAGGACAGGCAGAAAAAAGCAGCAATGAGATAGAAACACCAAAAATTCATAAACATGAAGTTCTTAGTGTTTTTATTCTTCTAACAATTTTGTCTGGAATTTTTCTGTTGCTCATTTTTTTATAAAATTAGTTTTCCTGGACTTTTCAGGAATCACACTGGTGGTATTATTAGTTGTGTTATTCTGAGACTACTAGCTTACAATATGACATTAAAAAATGAGTAGTTAGGGAATATTTTAATTTTTTCATCCCTGTGTCCTTGAGAACCAGGATACTCAAGTGTAGAAGAAAGGAGATATTGATGTTATTAAAGAGGTTAGTAAAAGATATATAGTCTTGTATTTGAATTTTCAACAAGAACTCATTTTATCTATTTGAAAATTAGGCAAAGGCTATTCAAGCCATTCACCCAAGAAGAAATGCAAACTGAAGATTATATGAAAAGATACTTGACCTGGACAGTAATAAAGAGAATGCTAATTTTAAAAAAGTATCATTCTTTACCCACCAGTTTGGATATTATCAATGACTATATTTGCTCAAAGTTGATGATGATGTAGGAAAATGGACATTCTCAAACAAAAAACTGAGCTGTCCATCAATAAGAGAATGGCTAAATAAATGACATGTGCACTACGGAATGCAATGCAGCTATGAAAAAAAAAACCATTGTCCTATTCCTTAACATCTAGATTTTTTAGCTTAGATTGAGTTTTTGGCTATTTTCAGAGAGTTAAAGTTGCTGGAAATCTGACTATTAGATGTGCAGTCATTACTGGAGATTATTTCTAGTACGATTGATAATATAATGGTAGATCTCAACTATGTTTACTGAGATAATAAATGTAATTTCTACTTATTAGTAATATTCTTAATTACTAAATAAACACATGCATGTATTCACACATACAGACCACAGAATCTATACAGCTAAATATATTAACATGTGAAGACTTCTAAGACATAGTATAAAATGAAATAAGACATGTTAGAACAAGAAATATGGTATGATCCCATTAAAATTTAAGAGAGGAAAGGGGGAAAAACAAAGGACAGAGACAGACAGGAAGACACAAAAACTGTTTTATGTAATGCTTATGGAAAAATACTTAGCAGATTGTTAATAGCAATCTCCTCTGAGAGTAGAATAAAACTATGTTCTTTCTATCTCTTTTTAAAATAATGAGTATATATTCATATAATCTTGAGTAACCAGAGGATAATAATATAATAGAAAAATATATAGTCAGAAGATGGAATTAGTTCGGGAAAGAAGATAAATTAATCAGATTTTGGATGTGTTGACTGTGAGTTGCTTATAGGGAATCCAGATAAGGGCCAGTAAGAAAGTATATAAATAGTTAAAAGAGAAGGAGGTTAAGAAAGATATTAGAAGAGAAAACGCTTACGAGAAAAAGGCTAATGCAAGAAAATCCTACATTAAATGGGGAAAGAGCCTAACTAAAAAACATATACTTGCAATAGTATATCATAAAAACCAAAAAAAGTGTACATTTTTATAGAACATGAAATTGTCTGCTTTGTATTTAACTTTACTAAATAGTCAAATTACATAAACTAAAGGTAAAACCGAATAAGCAAATATGGGCATATCCAAAGGAAATTTTGTCTTCTAGCTGGTGAGATGTTAAGGCCAACTGGACAGTACTTACACAACCTTTATTGTACCCTCTTTCTTACTAAAATAAGCATGAGATTAAATCTACACAAAGGGAAAAAAGGACATTTGAATTTGCCTAAATTAACAAAAGTATATGTAAACAATCCATTTGATTGTAACCAATTTACTAATAGGTTTTATTAACAGTACATTATGCTTTAAATACTTAATAAATGAAGAAAGGAAACTCACTAAGCTCTGTGATAAGTTTAAGATTCTGCTGCCGGATATTTTCAAATTCTTGCTGTTTTTTCCGCATATGTTCTTCAGTTACTGCACAGCGATCACATAATCCTGCTCTTAATCTATGAAACAAAAACAAAATATTTTTAGAGTTGAACTTAAATGTTCTCATAAATAAATGAGGTGATGGATGTGTTAATCAATCATTAACTCCAGATGGTGGGAATTCTCTCACAAGGTACATGTCTATCAAATCACCATGAGGTACTCTTTATTTTACAATTTTGTCAGTTATACCTCAATAAAGAGGAAATTTGAAGAAAAAAAAACCAAAATACTTTTCAACTGAGGGGCAAAATTATATCCTAAGCAAGCTTGCATCTGCTTTGTTCAGCATAGCATATAACACATAATCAATGTTCAACAACTTTTTTAGTTGAATTCATACTAAAACTCAAGGAACTCAAAGTTTAAAAAAGTGTCACCTCATACTTTGTTTTCAGTTTTTTGTCTTTATTTTAATTGGGGACTTGGGGGAGGGGAACAGTGTTGGGGAATTGGGGAGGGGGACCAGCCAAGTTGTTCTTCAATCTTAGTTGTGGAGGGCACCAGTCACCATCTGGCTGCCCGTCGGCAGCTCACGGCCTCTAAGCTCAAGGTGCTGTGTCACAATCTTAGATGCGGGTGGGTGAAGCCACCATCCCACGCTGGAGTTGAACCAGCAGCCTTGTTGTTAAGAGCGCACGCTCTATCCACTGAGCCACCTGGGTGGCAGCTCAGCTCTGGGTGCCAAGTCCAGTCTTAGTTGCGGGCGGGCATAGCCCACCATCGAACAGGCAGTCTTTTTGTTACACCAGCTGAGCCATCCTGCCACCTGTTAGCGGCTCAGCATCAGCTCAGCTTGGGCGCAGCATCACTGGCTCATGTGGGAATCTAACCAGAGACCCTGTTGCTCGGAGCTCGCGCTCTTAAGTCAACTCTTAACCAACTAAGCCACTTGGCCGGCACTCTTTTCAGCTTTTAATAAACCTCCTACATTAGTAAAAATTCACAATGTATTACTATGTAAAAAAGATTACAAATAACTTTTAATTATTTGTGAATGCTGAAGAGAAGAGGAAAAGACATATATCGCATGGGGGAAGGCGGGGGTGTTAGGAGAAAGGTATACTCTAAAATGTTACTAAGTTATCTTGCAGGTACCAGTATTATGGGATATTTTCTTCTTAGTGTTATTCTTTATGTTCCAAAATTCCTCTAATTTCATTATTTATATATTCAGGAAAAAATATGGTAAAAAAAAAGATACATATCCCATATTAGAAATTTAGAAAATATATATTCTAAGATAATGTCAACTCAATAACCTAAGTGACTAAGATACAAAGTATTTAAGTGTCTATGGAAGTCACAGTATGGTAGTATAATGCATGAATTGTAAAAAAATTTAAGGAGATAAAACATGAAAACTATACAAGACAAACAAAAAGAATCTAGAAGGTTATTTTATATGAAAGCAAAATTCATATCAACAAAGTTGATAAGGATTTGAAATTATAGGTTGTATTAATGAAATCAGAATTTCTAGAGTAAAGGAATAAAGATTTGGACATCACGGTTTAATTGGAATGTATTCCAAAGACGATAGGAATTAGGATGAGCAAGATCTTTGAAACCACGTTGTATAATGAGCAACATCTAAGTAAATATGACAAAGTGAAAATTTGCATATATTTTTGCTCCCTCCCAAAAGGTATTTGTATATTTTTAAAGACACAAACCCATGAGGACAGGGAGAATGGAAGAAAAAACAAAAGTAATTGAAAACAAAGTAGCTGGTAGACAAATAGAAACTGACCTAACAACACTGAATGGTGGGAAAAGTCTAAAACTGTGTTGTTTAATATGGTAGCCACAGCCACATGTGGCTATTTCAATTTCAATTAAATTAAACTAAACTAAAATAAAAATCGAGCTCCCTACCCACCCACAAGTGCCCAATAGCCACATGTGTCTAGTCACCACCATAATGGACAATGCTGACATAGACTATTTCCATTATCACAAAAAGTTCTATTGGACCATACTGACCTGATTTATGCTGCAGAATTCACAGAAGGTACAAAAATTGGTACCGGTAATGACTAATTCGAAGTATGTTTCAATAAATTTGCATACAAACATATTCCCTCCTATATTCTGAGGAGTCAAGTGATTTCCCAATTCTATTCCCAGCAGAGTAGAGGTTTCATCTCTAGAGTCTAAAACAGACAGTGTCTGGTCTGGGAGACACCAGGTACAGTTAAAGGTAGGAGTACAATAAGGAAATGAATGTATATCCACACCAAATGCTCAGACCCTAGCCTAGGCCTCGTCATCTACCTGGCTTCCAGAATATTGGTAGCCAGCCCTATTATACATTCCAGGAAGCAGAATAAAGGAGTCTTCTCTAAGAAATCTGACCGGCCTCACAGGAAAGACCTCAAGATACTGACATTAGGGGATCATTAATGAAACAGACCAGGGAGATCATTCTATAATGAAGTTCACTATACTAGTCTTCAGGTTAACAGGCTGAGTGTTGGCACAATAAAGGTGCACACACACACACACACGCGCACACACACACACACACACACACACACTCCATTATGAAATTTCAGAACAAGGATAAAAAGATCTTAAATTCTAGAAAGGAAAAAAATCTGGTATCTATGAAAGAGTGACCATTGGAATGATATTAATCTTATGAGTACTGAATGCTAACAAACAATGAAAAAAATGTCTTCAAAGTTTTGAGGGAAAACTATTTTGAACCTAGAATTTTATATCCAGTCAAAATATCATCTAAATGCAACAGTAAAATAAACACATTTTCAGACATGCAAGGATTCTTTGAAAATTTTTTGAAAATTTACTTCCTGTGCACTTTTCAGCAGTTACTCGAGGGTGAGTTATAACAAAATGAGCATGAGAAAACAATAAAAAGGAAAAACAGACGCACAGTTTATCAACCATACTCACTGGTATATCTTCAAGGTCGAAAATAGTGCCTAGTATGAGGTAGGTGCTCCATAAATATTTGTTAACTAACATGAATAGAAAGAAATAATGGAATTAATGTAGGGATCCAGTGAAGCGAAATCCCAGAATAGCCCAGAAAATAAATGGCTGAAATTAGTACAGAAAGTTTTTCAGTCCCAAGAAGTTATGTCTTCGAGAAAAAGAAACAAACAAAAAAGAACAAAAATGATTACAATCAATAAGTAGAATAGCTAAGGCATTAAATAACATTAATGACACAGTGAGATAAACATGTTTCTTGTCTTGATACAAAAAAAAGTACTTAGAAATTCTAGGAAACATAAAGCAAACTTATGTAAATGTGTCCTTGTCGTAATATGATTATGGGCTGATTTGAGCAACTGATTTGGGACAGAGGAGAAAAGAATCTATTTGACTTGGACATTAGAAACATCCTCCTTGAGTAGCACAGAGGTCATGACATCAGATCTGTGAAGAAGGCGGCAATGTAATCACAATCACAGCTCTTCAGCGAACTCTTACATAGTCGACAAATAAACACGGTTTACTATTTTACAACTTCTACAATCAACTTACAAACAAAATACCAAGATTGAAATCTGGTAACAGAAAAGAACAATTATTATCAGCCTTGTCAATATTTATATGTTGATGTTCATCTGGCATAAGACAGGAAGTAGAAAGAGTGGAAGAGTGAGGCAGGAAAGGGTAAAAATATCAATATCTTTCCTGTAATACAGTGGCGAGTCCAAGGAGGCTGTTTAGACATCTCTTTTTTTAATGTAAATACATATATTGAGCTTCTTATAATATATTTGCATAAATATATGTATTGTGGTTCAAAGGTAAAATAACTAAAATAATAACTATTCAAAAATAGTCGAGGGAGGAAAAAATAGTATCATCTTCACAGCAAGTAATAAATATTGTCTCATTGATAAATCAAGTCTTAAAGTGGATATACATCATCTACAATTTTGGAGAACTAAAAACTGGAACAGGGAAGGGTACGAAAAAGTGGAACAGATCACTGTTTTCATTATAACTATACAACTTTATAATGTACTTGTATTACTTGAATAAAAGTTCAAAAGGGAAAAACAGATAAAATAAGCCAAATAGTGCATTATACTCCTTTTCATTATAGCATTTTAATTTAATATTTTATTCTAGTAAACTTTGAATAAAATCTTTTTGAGAATTAAGGTACTAAAAATGACACCTTATCTTTCTGCTATAATACTCAACACGTTTTCAGGCTTTCAAGCACTTCTAAAGCTAATAGTAAAGTCTATTTATGCCTTTAAAATTCCAAATAAAATAAGAATAAAGTCTCTCTAAACCATTCTAAAACCACAACACTGTTAAACTGTTGTAAGAATCTCAATTTTAATTATTTGCTTAAAACACTTCGTATTTCATATTTATATTTCTCTTTTAAGATGTGTTCAACTTAAGAACACACACAAAAATAAAAATAAACAACAAAGCAAAACAAAAAAACAAAAAAACAAAAGATTTGTTGGACTCCAAGCAAATGAATACTTGGGGTCCAGCAATAAGCTTTCAAATAGTTGACCTGATCATGGTAAATAATTTATACACAGAGCTATTAAGCTATAGAGGCCAAAGAGCACATGACATTGAAAGGTCTTTGAAAAACACTGAAGGAGTTAAAATGGCATTAAACAATTTTAATGAATTTTAAATGTCATTCTACTAGTCAGTTTGTCGTTTAAAAACTAAACATCTTATTGTTTCTAAAAAGTCATACCTTATATAGTAAAATGTTATGAAGTATAACGGAAAACAATCCCGTGGTACCCCTAGCTTCCAAGTTTAAAAATGTCATTGTCACAGACAGTTACAAAACAAAGCAATATTCCCTAGCTTGTTTATTACTTCCAGGTTTCTCCAATCAACTGCCACTCTTGATAATAATATCTGAGTCAGCTCCTAATTCCTCACTGATCCTCGTTTGAATTTAAATGCATGTGAGAAAATATGCTAGCTCCTATTTCCAACAGCAGGGTTCCACTGCTTTCTCCTTGCCTATCTTCCACTGTGGCTGTCAGAG